CAGGGACACCACTCCTACCCCATGGCTAATACCACTCCAGAGACCCAACCTCCATGACTTTATCTCACTTCTCTTTAAACTCTGTTCTAGTTGTAGCCTTCACAGCCTCCTGCAGCAAGGAGTTCCACAGGTTGACTATTTGCTTTGTGAAGAAGAACTTTCTGTTACTAGTTTGAAGCCTGCTACCCATTCCTTTCCTTTGGTGTCCTCTAGTCCTTCTATTATGGGAACTAATGAAGAACTTTTCTGTATGCACCCTCTCCACCCCACTCCTGCTTTTAGAGACCTCTATCCTGTCCCCCCTCCGTCTCCTCTTTTCTAAGCTGAAAAGTTCCAGTCTCTTTAGCCTCTCTTCATATGGGACCTGTTCCAAACCTCTGATCATTTTAGTTGCCCTCCCCTCTCCCACCCTCTCTCTTCCCCTCTCCCACCTCCTTTTCCCAGTCTCCCCCAGTTTTGTTCAATAAAGAGAGATTCTATTTTTGACCACACGTTTTCTTTATTTTGTACATCAGGAAGGAGGGTTAGGGAAGGGTAAGTGGAAGGAGGTGAGGGAGGAATGGGGTATGGGCCCCCGATGGGGAGGACTGGGCTGGCTCTGCGGGCTTCTGGGGGTGGAAGCTCACCTGCAGCCCCCCAATTACTCCCCTCTCCACAGATGGCAGCCTGAGGCAAGTGCAGCCGGGCTGATGGCCGAGTGCTGTGACGTGCCCAGTGTGGGCACTCAGGGCACTCCAAGCTAGGACTGCTTTGCAAGAGGGGCACCCCTGAGAACTGTCTGTCCGGGGTGGGGGTCGGGTCCCTTTAAGCTAGCCTGAGGCAGCAGCCTGAGGCAGCAGCTTCACGCTCTAAGTCCTCATCTGATGCCCTGCCGACACTGCTTCCAGCCATCCTTAACCCCGGTTCAGGGTCCACTTAATGTGGACATGCTAGTTTGAATTAGCAAAACGCTAATTCGAACTAGTTTTTTTAGTCTGGATGCGTTAATTAACTAATTAGCTTAGTTCGAATTAATTAGTTAATTCTAACTAAATTAGTTCGAATTAGCGCTGTAGTGTAGACATACCCTAAGTGTTTACCCCTTATGAGTCTCAGACCACTAATTTATTTTGTAGAGGGAGAAATGGGTAAGTTCCCAATTTTAGGTGAGTAAAGCTGGGAGAATTAAATTGCTCTGGCAGCTGTTATTTTAAATGGCAATTGTTTGCACTAAGCATGTTTGAACAACTAAAATAGCCTAAGTGGGGATGGACTGTGCATGTTCAGCAAAAGGGTAGTTTTTATAGCTATGTGCCCAAATGAAATATAGAACAGAGCTACTCAACTTTGCAAGCCCCAGGGGCCACAATGACACTTTCAGCACATGCCAAGGGCCACAACTTAAGTGTGGTTGCATGTACATGCAAATATATATGTAAATATATGCAAATAGCTTCTTTCACATTGACAGGAATGAATACAAAGATTAAGGCAAGACTACACAACACACAGGCCTCATTTAAATCAGTTCTGCTGATATTAATAAAATTCAATAGTTACCCAATTTCCACCCATGTGACAGCACTTTTAATGAGCAATGACTGTCCAGGAATTTAACTACTAATACGCATATCAACAGAAGACCACTATATTGACTCCCCGTTGTGGAGCGTGTTCCCAGTGGAGGCCATGTTTAAAGGATCCCACCTGTGGGCTGTATTGAGGCCTGCGTAAGTCCAAATCACACTGTGGGCTGCAAATAAACAGGCCAAGGGCTGCATGCGGCCCGCGTGTTGAGGAGCCCTAATACAGAGAATTAAAAACTTGTCTTCCAAGTGTGTTGACTAATTTGAACTCTGGAGCATACACAATCAGCACAGATTATATATTGGGGTGGGCAATAAATTTTTGAGGTGGCACCAGGCTGAGCCAGAAGGGTAGGGCCAGGATGCTTCCAGGCTTCCTCACCCAAAGACCACGATTAGTCTGGAGGTGAGGGATCCCCTTTGTTCCCCCTTCCCGCTAAGCACCGATGCCCTGGCAGTGGGAAGAGACTTCCTGTGCTCGATTGGCCTCGGGGTGGGGGAGCACTGGAAGTCTCCTCCTGCTCTGCCAGGAGCACGTGGTGATTCTAAGTGCCGTGCGCACCTCACAGGGTAGGGGTAGGGCAGAGGAAACTTCGCACACTGCCCCCCTGCCTGCAGGCCCTGACTGGCCTGAAGGTGGAAGGGGAGGGAAGTGCACAAAGTTTCCTCCAGCTAATCCCTGCCCTGTGAGGAGCGTGTCGCGCTTAGAATCGCCACACGCTCCTGGCAGGGAGAGAGGAAGCTTTGCACACTCCCCTGCCCCCAGACAAATCAAGGTCTGGGGGCAGAGGGAGCATGCAAAGTTTCCTCCGCCCTACCCCTGCCTTGCGAAATGTCACTTAGAAATTCCACATCGCCTCCACAGGCCAGATGAACCCACTTGGTGGTCCAGAGGCCCTTTTGCCCACCCCTGTTATACAGTCATTACTCATTTAACACGTGCCTGCTTAACACGTTTTCGCAATGGCACGTTTTTTTATTTAGGGAATTTTTTCAAACACGACCGTTCCCAAATTAACACAAAAATAATCAAGTGACGGACTACTTCATGCAGTGGCTCCACAGGCCAGATGAACCCACTTGGTGGTCCAGAGGCCCTTTTGCCCACCCCTGTTATACAGTCATTACTCATTTAACACGTGCCTGCTTAACACGTTTTCGCAATGGCACGTTTTTTTATTTAGGGAATTTTTTCAAACACGACCGTTCCCAAATTAACACAAAAATAATCAAGTGACGGACTACTTCATGCAGTGGTATAAGTTGATGAAAACAATGGTAATACACGAGTGGATGAACACGTGATCAAAGCACTCCTCCGCTCACTCACGTGTTTATCTTTGTGTTTTAATAAATAGCAGCAACTTGTGTTGCTAAATATCTAATGTTTACGTTGACAACCAAGCACCAACAAAAAGTTGACTTTGCCACCACTACCTGAAACGCAAACCCCACATTTTCCATTATTTTTAAATGAGAACATTGACCCCGCATAACACGTTTCGCTTAGCACAAACATTTTCAGAAACGCACCTATAGTGTTAAATGAGGAATTACTGTGTATGGTGATTATCAGTGGCATGCATATGCCTTAACCTATACAATACATTATTTATATCTGGCCATAGCAGAAAAACCATTTACCAGGCCTAGCAAGCTTGGATTGAGAATAAACTGAGCTTTAGAGACACTAAAAAATGGAGGCTTCAAAAAGTAATCTGCATCTCACGGGCTTCTGAGATCTGAAAATGGGGAGGTGGACACAAGTCTTGAGCTGCACTTTGAAGAAGACTATTTAATCTTTGAGTCACTGTACAATGTGCATCCTAAAGCATTGAACTGACAAATGTAACATACCATATGCTTAAAGAAAGAATTTGGCCTACACATTAGTTACATATTTCTATACATACACAGAGTAACATTAAAAACATTTTATAAACTCAAAGAAATTCTGTTTACGTTTAAATTCGTATGATATCAGAACACTGATTTTAAGCCTATTATGGGAGGTTACAAATATATTTAGTTTACTTAAACTTACCATTCATTATCCATGGCATTTCGAAGATTACTATCTTTGCTGCAAAGACAACAAAAGATAATTGAAAAACAAGACATTATTTCTATATTAACAAAAGGGAAGAAATCCTTATTAATATTAGATGATTGTTAAAAGCAGAATACTTAGTTTCCATGCTTACTTATCTATGAAAAAAATAAGTTTACCCCATTTGTCAAATAGTATTTTCAAAACTACTCCGATGATAGGACAACCGAAATATTCAGAAGCCAATTTGAAATAACAGAAAATACTGTTTTGGTATACAAAGTCAAAATTATTTCATAAGAGTCAGAAATACTACCCATATCCCAAATTCAGAGAACTTGTTTAAGTTACAATATTAAATGCCAGAAGATGCAAATAATATGCACCTTAATTCTAACAATTTTATCATTGTGTGACCTTTACCAAGAAATTACAACACAAATTTTTAACAACTCTGGATACTAGCAACTATAACAGAATGCTATCTTCTATTCTCAGAAATGAAATTCCACTCACTCCAAACTTTAAAATGTTCACAACTACAATTTTTTTCACTAACATTAAATTTAAAAGTCATGGCAGAGAAAAACGGCAGCACTGACTGAAGCTTTGTATCTACCCATAAAAATAAGTTAATATGCAAGTTTTTCCCCTCCCACAGCCCCATCAATGTGTCTCAAATCTGTCATGGACAGATCATCTGAGACAATTGGGTAGATTCTATTCCATTCAGTCTTTAGCCTCTTAGCTGTTAACAAGTGCCATTGTCACAGCAACATCTTTCAACTTTTGGCAAAACCCTTAAACTAAACAAGGGTCAGAGATGTTCAAAAAAAGGAAGGCAATAAGACAGAAAAGCACCACCAGTGCAATGCTGTGGCCAAGAGGTTTAATAGGATCCTTGGATGCATAAACAAGGGAATCTTAAGTAGGAGCAGAAAGGCTATTTTATCTTTGTACTTGGCACTGGAGTGATCATTTCTGTAACAATGTGTTCAGTTCTGGTGTCCACAATTCAAGAAAGATGTTAAAAAAATTGAGAGGGTATAGACTCAAGTAGTTAAGTCTATTTAGATGTTTAGCAAAGAACAGTGACTTGATCTTATTTTGTAAATTCCTACTTGGGGAAAAAAAATATTTAATAGTGCACATTTCAGTCTAGCAGACAGAAATATATTGCAATCCAATGCTAGAAGCTGAAACTAGACAAGTACAGACTGGAAATAAAAGTGTACCCCTAAAAATGAAAGTAATTAAGTATGGGAACAATTTACCAATGATAGGGGTGGATTCTTCCATCACTGAATTTTAAAACCGAGAATGGATATTCTTGGTAGAGATATGCTCTAGGAATTATTTCAGAGAAGTTCTGTCGTGTGTGGCATACAGGAGGTCAGTCTACAATGATCACAATAATCCTTCCTAGCCTGGTAATCTAGGCATATTAACTAAATGTTTATTATTTTCTAAAACTAATTATTAGATGAATTTGTATCTCCTAAAATACTTGTTTTAAACTATCAGAGGGGTAGCCGTATTAGTCTGAATCTGCAGAAGTGGCGAGGAGTCCTGCAGCATGTTATAGACTAGCTGAAGTGTAGGAGCATAAGCTTTCATGGGCAAAGACCCACAAAACTATTTACATTTAAAACAAATCCATATTTTACCTGTGAATTTCAAACCAAAATTAAGTTGATAAATGTGTGGTAATTAGCTCCACTAACCAGTCAGACAGTGTGATGGGGAAATTCAACACAAATTAATCTTTCTAAAAGCTATTATTAGTAAATGTATTTATATGAATTATCCCACTGCCTTGGCACTTTGTTTCTGGGGCACGTCACACACAGATTTCTGGACTTGATTTTACCTTTGCAGTCCGCACACTGAAAAAGTAGTATTTACAAACTTTTGAAGAAAATCTCTCTCCTGATCAGTTATAAATATTTACATAGCAAAAAAACCCCATACTGCATAATACAAATCTGTAACACTGTGTCCCCTTGTAAAAGGGACAATATACATTACTTACAGAGATAATTTGGATAATAAACTTTAAAACAGTGGACGATGAACCGAATGAAGTCCAAGTCCTAAAATAAAGGCAAATAATAATAAATGCAGCACAAATATAAAATGTTTTATATAAAATTATAAATTTTGTAATAAGAGATTTTTCAAGATAAGTGCTCAACTACAACAAAACAAATATGCATCAGCTATATACAGAATATTAAATTTCGAACATTGCCCCAACTTCCAGTGCAATTCTACTCATTCAGGCCACGATCCTGCAAAAATTAAAATCCACGTTTAACTTTGTGTAAATTTTACTAAGACTCTAAGTACATAAAGTTAAGCACATATATTAAGTCTTTGAAGAACTGGGGTCGCAGGAAAGGGTGAGGAGATTTTCCCAAGAACTACAGCCTAACAGAAAAAACAAATCCCTGTCTCTATGGCAATGTGCTAGGCTTTCCTTACATAGTACAAGTGCAGAATTGCATTCAAGACAGACAAGCGAGTTACATAAGGTCTGTACATTGAAGGTAAAATGTCTAGGAAAAAGAAAAATGCCTTTTATAAGGATTTTTAGTTCTGTTTATCTTGATTTCTAATTAAATAATTCACTACATTTAGACAAAAATTAAGATTTAAAAGTTTATGAACATGGTTCTGCAACAGATTAAGGAATTAACATTACCTGATTATTAGGGATGTTAAATTTCAATCAATCAGCTAATCGAGTAGTCAATGGAATTTCCATTGACAAGTAGATTAGAGGGAAGTTGGACGCTCGTGATCCCGGCTGCACCTCTGCCTTTTAAACGTATTAAGAGCTGCCGGTGGGGAACATGGGGTGAGCAGGGACTCTAACAGTCCCCACTCACCTGTGTTCCCCAGCTGAGCTTTTGCCTTTGAAACGTAGCAAAGGGCAGCAGTCAGAACCCAGTCTGCTTCAGCCCCTGCACACACTGTTTCCCTGCTGTACCTTTGCCTCCCCTTCTCCCACACTGCAGAGATGATGCTGGGGGGTAACTGGCTTTTAAGCTGGCTCCCCCCCCCCAACACTGGCTCCTGCTCCCCTCCTCGCTGCCTCTCTGAGGGAAGCAGTTATAGAGGCCTGTTAGAGCACTCATAGTACCTCCCCCATCTTCTGAGCATTACAAATATAAAGTGCGTCCTGCCACCTCAGTCCTTGCACAGCTACTGCAGGTTTAATATCTTATTAGAACTCTGAAGAAAATGGAAAGTGGGTAAAGAGTGCAAATATACAGAATGCATCATCAAAAACTCTGGTTATAAAGGTAAGAAAGTGGGTAAAGAGTGCAAATATACAGAAGGCATCACCAAAAACTCTGGTTACTTACCTTTATAATCTCCATTTCTTTGTTATATATACTCTGCACATTCCTACTCATGGGATACTTTTGCAAGCAGTATGCATGATTGGACAGTGGAACTTGAGAGTCTAAAGTAGTAAACACAGCAGTGCCCTACCAAAATGAGCATTTGACTCAGATGCCAAAGCTAATGAATAGTGTTTTGTAAGGGTCCGAGCAGTGCTAAAGGTGGCAGCTTTACATATTTCAACAGGAATGTTTCTATAGCAGTAGACTCTGCATTAGTTGAGTGTGATCTAACTCCAGCAGGAGGAAGAGCTTTCTGATTATATGCTTGTTCTGTACACGGTCTCAGCCACTAGATAACTGAACAGAAACTTTCTGACCCTTCTGGTTTTTAGCGTAAGAAATAAAAAAAAAGTTTTGGAGAGCGTTGACATTCGCTTGTTCTGTTTAGATAGTAAGCTAAAGTACTTGTAGCATCTAAAGTTCAAATTCTCTTTTACGAGTATGAGGTCTCAGAGCTGGCACAGTAATTAATTGATAAGAAATTCAGTATGGTAGGAAGGAATCTAGGGTGAGGTCCAAATACAACTTTCTTTATGAAATATAATAAATGGTGGGTCTATCATGGGGCATACAATTTGCTGATCTACCTTGCTGATGTAAAGGCTATTATAAAATGGAGGGGGGGCTCCAGCCCACCCGCCCCATTTAACCAGTTAATTAAATAAGATTTGATATTCCTAGTACAAGATCGATGTGTTTTTCAGCTACCCAGTTCACAAATCTACATTATGTTCATAACACTTGCTGCAGGTCTAAAGTGCAAGATATTTCAACATATGTTAAAGAGGTTCAGGTGACAAATTCTGTCTTGTTGCAGAAATATGTCTGGCATATTCTCTTGGACAGTTGATGAAGTTTTCTATATTACCGTTGTCTCGCACATGAAAAAGCAATTGACCTAGCCCCATCACATTTCATGTCTGTAAAATCCTCTGCACGAAATGGGGGGAAAAAAGGAAACACATAACAAGCTCATCCACCAATTCAGAAGGAAACATCCAGTATGGAGAGCTTGTCTCTCCCCTCTCTCCAGTGGAAAGGAGGTCACTATGTTTTTCCCTAATCAGATCTCTGCTGTGTTGGCCAGCTTTATCACTTCCTTGTCTGCTAAGTGCAAAGTAATGGGAAGATATTGAAGTGGATACACCAGTCTCAAAACTTGATCACTTCCCTGTATAATTAAAACAAGCAAGCTCCTCCCTGCTTGCTCAATTATATACTGCCATCTTGTTGTCCATGACAACTTGTATTGCTTTGTTCTGGATGTGAGGTAGTAATGAATTGAGAAAAACAAGTAAGTTCTCAAATGACTGTGTCTTCATATGTAATGTCTTTTCCTTGTATCTCCAATGGTCCCAAACTAAGACATAGTTATCAGTCTTTGGAAGCTTCAAAGTCATCTTCAATTAAAGAGCTGAGGCACTGAAATGTGTCTCCTTCAGAACATTCTCTGCATAGGTCCACTGAGACACATATGAAAGAATTTCTTTGGGGACAGAAGTTATCCTGAAAATGTTATCTTTGCATGTGTCACAGTTCTGTGCCATCTCATTGCTATACAGACCTCTTTGTGAGTCTGGATAAGTTGGGTCTTACGTTCTTGCAAGATAAGTCACAACTGACCCAGAAAGAGTGATCTTTTAGGAAGGATTGAGATGCAATAGCCATATGGTAGAAGAATTTCAGAAAGCTCTCCACTTTCAGGAATGCTCTGCCTTTTTGCAAGTCAAAGATTGCTCCTATGAATGGAATCTTTTACTAAAGTCTTTCATATTTATTAAGGCCTGTAACATTCCAAAAAGGAAAATCTAAGGTGTACATCACTTATATGATGCTCCGACAAAGATTTAAGAAATCACTTATTTAACTATGGGTAGACTAAAGTATCTTACTCTCTCAAGACAAGCTCCTACTACAAAGGGGCACTTTGTAAAATCCCTGAGTGGTAAAAAGGCCAAAAGCTTGTACTGAAAATGGTCATGATCAATAGTAAGACAAAGACACTTGCAATCATCATTTGGTCTTCTAGAAATATGTATCCTTAAGATCGAGAGCTACAAACCAATCTAAGGTTGAAAAGGAAGGAAAAACATGAGGCTAGCACTAACTACCAGAACCTGAAGTTCCTGACAGAAGTGCTGAGATTTCTCATATGTAATATCAGATGAAACCAAAGAAGGATGGAGGTTATTAATGAAATACCTTGAGTAAAATCCTTGATTTCTAAATTCCCGTGGAACCTCCCCTATGCTTTTCCCTGAATCTCAGACTGGATTTCTGATTTTAGCACACAGTCTTAAGGGAGAAATCTTTGAATATCAAAAAAAGGGTTAAGGGAGAAGAAAAAGGAAAGATGTTCTTGCAACAGGTTTCACACTTGGGCAGAACACATTTATATTATCCTCAAAACACATTTGTTCAAACTTACAAAACTGCATAAATCAAGGAAGTAAGAAAGCCTGTTTTCCAAAGGCTGGGGATATAGGTACATCATCGATTGTTTTGCAAATTTTGATCCTCCTATCAAGGGGCTCAGCTAGCAGATGACTAAGCACAGTGCTCACTTGCAGGGCGGGGTCAGACTTCGCACACTCTCCCATCCCCAGCCTCTGACTGATGTGGGGATTGGAGGGGGGATACATGAAATCTCCTCCCACTGCCAGGGGTGTGGGCTCCTAGAGAGAACCGCTAGCTGTTCTGAACAGCTGGCGGTTCTATGGGAGGATACGGGGGAAAAGACTTCATGCACTCCCTCACGTACAGACCAATCAGCGTCTGTTGGACAGGAAGCAGGGAAGTGTCCTGGCCCCGCCCCTTCCAGGGAGGCCCAGGGCCACTTAAATTTCTGAAGTGATCCCCCAGATAAAAATTATTGCCCACTCTTGATGTAGGTTTTGTATCCTTCATTCTTTTCCAATTGCTTATCTTTTCTATTATGAAACAGCCCATCTCCTCCAAAACTGATACTCAGTTTCAGTTTTTGTCTCAGGTGAGTGAGTGTAAGATCATAACCATGTGATCACTACCACCATCCAACTTATAACCAAAGAATATCCTTTGTCTTTTGCGATCACTACCACCATCCAACTTATAACCAAGCAAAAGACAAAGGATATTGTGTGTTATGCTATTGTTCATTTATCTGTATTATGTAACTGTTAAACTGTCTTTAGGAAGTGCCTTTGCAAACATCAACATTTTGTCCCATCAATGGCATGGATACTACAATGTCACTGGCCGATAATTTAGCCCTCTCACCTGAGGGTGAAGAAAGAAGAAATCATTTTCCTTCACATTCAGAAGCTGTAGAAATAAAATGTCCACCTCTTGACCTGTTGGTTACTGCAACCATAACCAATTATGAGGAACGGGAGGTAAGCAAAAGAATCCGTCATATGGAATTTGCTATAGCTTATCAGCATTTTTGAGAGCAGTTGACAAGAAGCAGTATTAAACCACAAAGTTTTAGATTCTTTGATAACTATCAAAATAAGACAGGACACAGAGACTTTGCTCTATGTTAAAGCTGAGAGCACCAAAGATTCAGTAAGAAGTCTCCTTTAAGATAAGACAAGAGCTTTAACAAGATACCATCCTATTTACAAAAAGCTACAAGCTATATAAACAAACATTCTCATCAGGAGAAGAAATAATCAAATACTGAGTTTAGGTGCTGATATTCCATTTGTACCCAAGAGGGCTTCTTCAGATATAGTACTATAGCAGAAGAATCTTCTACACGGGACGTGAAGGAAGAGGGTGACTCGTAGGACCCCTTCTCCTTATGTCCTGGCATCACAACCTGACCGAAGGACGAAAACAAACTGACACTAGTGGCTCCAAAAGCTTTTTCCAATCTGATGGAACACTCTGGAGCAAGGGACAGGTAAAACTTCTCCTGTAAGTTTTTATTTTTGTTGCGTGTGGATTCATGAGATTTGATTCTGCTCCAAGAGATCTGAAGAATCTCCAGCTTTATCACACGCAACAGAACCAAGCTATTCAGATCTGATGCGCTCACATGATTTGGATCTTATGTAAGAAGACAATACAAATAGAGATAGTAAGTAACAGAAGATCCAACAACATCTAGATTTTGGTATCAAGAGCTTGGGGTCTTTTGTTGAACAGTTTTCTGCTTTGATCGGGAAGGGTCACCAGTTGACACTGGCCTCCTGTTATTAGTCTCTCAGACGCTTTCACAAAGTCAGAACACACAAGATTTGAAACCACAATTGCTTGCAATACTAAGACTTGTAGACTATTCTGACATTTCTTTCTTGCTTTTGGAGTACAGCTGCTGCAGATCGTACAGCTTCAAGGAAAGTGAAGCTCACCCAGGCATACTGGGCCTTGAGTGCAAGCATCCAATGCCACAAAGACCAGTGCAAATGATGTGCACATTTTAAAACTCAATCTTTTCAGATATGGATCTGCATGGAAAATAGTTGGAATAAAAACTAACAATCCGACTTTTCTAAATTACCAGTAAAAAGTATTCCTAGAAGTACTAAAATCTTTTTAGTGGAATGGAAACGTATTGGTTCACATCGATCTGCTGCTGTGGTTGAAAGGAACCAAGGCAGCCAAGAGCAAGATGCCACCTCAAAATTCACAGGAATGCTAAGGGATAGGGCAAAAGGAGTGCCATGACCATGAGGATGGGCAGCAGCCTGGGGATTAAGGGGTTAACTTTACCTAGCCAGGTATCTGCTCAGCCAACAGAAATGCAGACAGGGATTTTAAACTGGGACAAAGGAACTTTGGGATTTCTCTCTGGGCAGTTTCTCTCCAGTTACTGAAGGGGACAGACACTGTCACCCTCCAAGAAAAAAGACTTTTCACTATCTGTAAGTAGGGTAAAGTTTAGATAAATCCGTTTTATTGTTTGCATAGACATCAGCTTCCCATTCCCATTTAAAAATGGGTTTTCCTCTACTTTGTAAGTAAGTTTTGGCCCATGGTGGAATCCCCTCATGAGTATATTCATTTGTGACTTTTCCATCTATCATTATGCTTGCAACAGGAATATTGTGGTGATAATAAAAGTTCTCTCTCTCTTCTTTTTATTAACCTGATAGTGGTTATTTTGTGTGTCCTGGTTTTACTTTTGGGGCTGAGATTTCCCAAGTGGTCTCTCCTTAGTTTCTTTATTATTACTTGGGCGGTGGCAGCAGATTTATCCCCAAAATATAGTTTAAAGTTCCAACATCTTATGTGCCCCAGCTGTCACATCCCATGTGTGCGAACAGGCAGAGGACACTCAGAAGAAATATAATTTACAAACTAGTCAGTATAGCTTTACAAACTGAAATCCTGAAGAATTAATTGGAAATGTACACTTATGAGATCTTACGGGGCTGTGCTGCCTAGGTTCTAAGGCTTTTGCTGTATAATTCATATCTAATGTGGTGCCCAGGACCTGAGTGCCTTGGTTAAGCTATGCACAGTCTAACCAAAAATCACAATTAAAATGCTTACTATGTGACTGACTCCAGTTTCAGCCATGTCGAACACCACTGTTAAAGGCTTTCCGTGCTCTCTTCTGGCATAATGTTCTAACCAAAAGGCTACAAACTTCTTTTTTTCAAATTGCACTTTAGGATCTTTCGTATGAAACTTCACTCTGAACCAGACTACAAAAGAAAACATATACATGTATATAAAAAAACCTGAATCTTATTAGTTGAAATCTTTAAATGGATTTCTTATGAAATCTGCCAACTCCTTGATTTTATATATATAGTTTTTATATTTTTCAGCTATTTCACAGGTTCTCTTATAGCAACAGTGGCCAAATAATGGCTTTTTGATGATATTTTAAGTACAAAACACAAGGTACAGAATAAAAATAGGAAAATAAAAAGATTATATATAAAAAAATATTTGAATGCTAGCTGACACCTGAAAAGATCTCCTACACACAACAGAGGAGAGAGACAAGAGACACTCATTTGCTCTTTTCATTTAAGGTCCGACTGCTTTTTTTTGGGGGGGGAGGGTATCAATTCTATAATACATTGAAAATTCTATATTTAAATGAAGTCGTTATTTTATTTTACTGAAAAGATAGACATTCCAAATATTCAATAATAGGAGCAAAAAGAGGGACTTCACTAGTACTCACTGAAAAACAATCAAATTAGGAAGGTGAACTGTGATAATTTAAATGTTAACCTTACTGAACATGAGTGATTAGTACCCCCTCCTTGCACACCCCATTCTCTATTGTTTTAGGACAAGCAGAGGAAACTAAGTAAAGCGGAAGTCAAAGAGGAGCAGTTCACACCTTTTACCTTTTTGGTATCATGAAAGCTAAAATACAGAAAGCTGAATTTCAAGACCCAAAACATGAACACTAAAGATTTATTCTCTATTAAAAGACTCTTGGGATTCAATAAGCATTGCTAACGGTCATAATACTTGATGAAAAAGGGACTGTACTCATCTGTCCATTATCTATTGTCAGATATTCACTGGAAATTCACTTGATTTTCCCATTTCTTTTCATAAAGGTATCTCCTGATAAGTAGTTGCTTCCAGCATTTTAGTAGCCTCCACTATGAAAGTGTGTGTATGTATAAACACTAATAGATAACTGAAAATATAGGAGTACATGTAACTTACATAACTTGTAGCCCTCTTTATCATAACCATGTAGGTAAAGAGCACCATTTTCAAATAACCATTTTGGAAGGACGGATTCAGACAAGTCTGCAAAGCAAACAGAAAAGCTATTTTGGCAAATTGGTATCAGGCACCCTTAATTTTGCTGTTTAAAAGTCACTACAAACTATCTTTTAATGTTAGAATGAGAAACTTCATATTTAAGATAAGATTTGTATGTGAGAGAAAATTATAAAAGTAGAGGAATACATCTATTTGTAAATTAATATTTTTCCTCTTTTCATTTTAAACTCTGCCAGAAAAGGTAATAATCTATATATAAAGTGGTGTCGGGGGGGGAGGGGGGAGAAGAGGGGAGGGGGAGAGGAGTCTTTGAATGACCTAGAGGGCAGTAGAAATTTCCCCACTGAGTCATTCCATTGTGGCAAGTACATATGTGTAGTGGTTCAGTAGAGTCTCCTGACAACTTTGACTGTATTTTGCTTTACAATAAACCTGGCCTGGCATCTTTGATCTTTATCTGGTTTGTGGTCTTTGGGGGCTCTCTTGGGGTCTGCTGTATAGTGCACAAGACAACACAGCACACACCACTGAGCACACACACAAGCAGCCTTCTGGTTATCATCATCATCGTCGGAGCCAGACATCTGTGAGGACACCTTGGCAGTAAATCTCAACTGCCCTCCTGAATAACTACAATAGGGTCCTAGTTTCTTATTGAACTATACATCACCAACATATTAGTTAGTAGTAAATGACATCTTACCATTGACCGTGTATTCTTTTCTCCACTGAAAGCTTTCATCAATCATCTTCAATGTATCATCCACAACATCATGACGCCAAAGTAAATAATTTTCAACCCAATTATCATCTTGTTTTAATCTTTCCACATCTCTGGAATCATATTTATCTGATTTATCTAATTTTAAAAAGGAAAAATGTAATGTTATATAGACACACAGTGCATGCTACAGAAATATTACAAAATTGAAATTGGGAAAATTTCAGGGCAGCAGTTTGCTTGGAAATACAAACATCCCAAAGATTTCACTTAAGGCAGGCATGGAATTCAAGCGACTGAAAATTTCTATGAACTATATTAAAAAGTGGAAATTATTAAGAAACAGAATATTTCTCAGGGTTGGAAAGATATGTGATTTATATTATTTTTAGGTAAAGAAAAATGCTAAAAATCAGCAAAAAAAAATTTATCTGCAAGTCAAGCAGGTAAGTTTCTTCTAATTTTTTTCTTCAAATACTGCACACAGAAAAGCAGACAGGTTTCTAACAGCATTAAAAAAAAGTCTAGGGTCTGGAAGTTCCAAAGCTTTATGACTGCATGTACACGGAGACACAGATATATCAGTTCAATGCCTGGATTTTCCAAACTGATTTATCACAGATATTATCCTTTAAGAAATGGTATAATAAGAGACATAAAAACTGACAGCGTGTGAGTTGTACAATTGCAAGTTCATCTAAACATCTGCTGAAGTGATAAGGAGAGATTCTCAGTCTTGTGACATTCACTTTTTATTTAAAAATCAAGAACACTACTGCTAATGTGGTCATATGTCTTAACGCAAAATGTTCTACCATTTAATTATCAGAATTACCGTCAGTTACACCATTGTAAAATATTCTTGCTAGACCAGCTGTGTAGCCCAGTTATAGTTAGGCTTGGCAGAATTCAATTTCTGCTTGTGTTATTTTGATAGATAATTTTTTTCCAGTTGAATTTGCATCGACTATTCGATTAGTCGATAAGGCGCCTCCGCCTTTAAAGTATAGCAACAACTCTAGGACCAATGCTACAATTTAAAGGCGAAAACTCTTGGGTGGGCGTGAGGCTACTAGGGACAATGCTCAGTTATCCCATATTTTTTAATATTATATATGGCCTGTTTAAGTGCTAACCTTTTAAAGCTTTCTAGATAGAAAGTTTTTGAAAAGAACTCCTCTCTTTTAGTGCTTAAGTCTTAAAAGTTCATAAAATGTGCAGAACAAAAGGACAGAGATTGTTATCAGCTCGCCTGGAGAAAAGTCCTTCTCCAATTGAATCTCTAAACTCTTCACAGTTCCAGTCCCAGCAATTCCTTATAAAATATTATTCAATAAATTAAATGTTCTTAAGTAAATACTTAGAAATTATCAGAGATGACCACTTCTAAAAAGGAAAAAGGAAGACAGGTTATTTACCTATAACTGCAGTTATTAGAGATTTTTGCTGGCACAGATCCACAATCTTGGGAGTTAAGCAGTAGTGATCTTCACAAAAAGGTGGGTCAGAAGATGACCCAAGTAAATGAAGACTAAACACCTCTACACTAAACTGAAGTCTAAATCTATGGAATACCACATATAAGCACTGAAAATACCCACAAGTAGGAAATTTGAGGCAAGATGTGAAGATTATTCTGACTGTACAAATACACCCTAAGACTCCCAGATTATGATTATCTCCAGTATTATTTACCAAGACAGGATAAGCAGATAAGAATCCAAGCTTTGGACTTACCCCAGAAGTTAATCTAGAAGTTAATCTAGAGGACTATTTTTTTTTCCAGATGAAAGCTAACTGCTCTCTGAATATTTAAGACTATGCATTTTAGAGTCTCCCAGCACTTTGGGGAAGAAAGTTACAGAATAAATTTGTTTGACCTTAAGGAACTTTACTAGTTAATGCTGGTAAAGTTTCAAATAATCTTTTCTAACTGCATTTGTGACAAGATGTTTAGATCTTAAGCACAAATTTCATCCAGGAATTCACTACTTTTAGGGGGAAATGATAGTTCTCAATACCATGAAAAACCATTTGTTGGAAGTTGGGAGATAGTCCAACACAATAGGAAAGGTAGCAAATGCTGGGTCAATGAGCTAGCAATCTGCCCAAAGTTTGCCTTCCTAGTAGTTAGAATACAGTTACTAGTAACCACTTCTAAGAAGCATTAAAACTTGTTTTTTTTCCCCCCCCCATTAAGGAAAAGAAATCCAGACAGTTAATGCCAGGCGTAAAATGCTCCCCCTTTGCATGGAAGAACCACCAAGAGTTCCAACATTAGACTGAGGACTTTTGTTTATCAATAGCCACAAAGTATCAGCCACACATTTTCTTCCTTCTTTCTAGTTTTCCTGGTTAACCTTGAGAACAAATTATAGCAGAAGGCATGCATACAGGATCTGTATATGCCAACTTTAAAACAAGTTAATTGACAAGACAACAGAACTTATACATCCCTGAGGTACAGAGCTAAGACCAATTATGCAGACTTAAGGAATGAGGTGAGGTTTCCTGTTACTATGCTGAACTCTAGCTTGCAAATGAATTTGTTCAAGCTTCACAGATTTAGAGTGGGCCAAAGTTCTCACTACCCTTTCATTCTTTTGGAGATTTGACAATAAGAGTAAAATTTCTTTCCTCCATGAGAATTCCTATGGGCGTACCTAGACTACGTGGAACGGTCGAAAGGGGATATGCTAATTCCACGGGAATTTGCATCTCTTCTTCTGATTTCACTTTTGAAAGCAGAACTTTTGAAAGTGAAAGTAATTAAGATGCGGCTTTTTCGGCAAACTGCCTCCTTTTTTGGGGAAAAGCAGCTTTTCGACAAGGTACACTGAATGGAACTAGATGGAATTACTGTTTTTTGTAACTTCCACATCCACTTTTTCCAAGGTAATGCTGTTCCATGCCACTAGGAGTCACAAACAGTCCCCTAAAGGAAATGCAGGTATTAAGTCCAAAAAGTTTTGGTCTGAAATTCTGAAGCCTAGACTTATAAAAGTGTGGCTTTGTTGAAGACCCAACACTGAAGATTATACAGTTGCAGTCTTATGTCTGGAACCTGATTTCTTGTTCTTTAAAGAACAGTAGGTGAATAATTTCCAAGTGCCCTTTCTTTAGTGGCCTATAGGTTGAAAAGATTGACCTTGACTTTGATGTAATGAGTGTTTGTTTTTTGTTACATAACTGATACGGATCCAATGAATGAAGAGTGGATTTTGAATCTTTTGATTACTTCAAGGATTACCTGGCTCTCTCATCCCTGTGTTATATGGGAACAGATCTAATACGCTGTTTTGTCCAAATCATCACAAGCAACATTTGACCACATTGTGTCTTTGTACGATGGTGTTTTCTTCCTTTATGTCTAACAGGTGAGCCAAGTGCATGCAACTTGTAACAAAGAATATAAGCCACAGTTATGAGATAGGGAAGTGTTTCTCAACCAGTGGTACCTGAAAGAAGTCTGGTTGGGGAGGAGGGGGTACATTAACAACTGAAATTTGGTGAAAACTGAATTTGTGTTTTAAGTTTTACAGCGCTTTATTATTTGTGTACTTTTCATACCCAAAAATATCATTGCCCACGCGGTTACTTATCTATTATCAACTGGCAAACCTCAGTCAAATTCTTGAACTCCTTCAATCCCTCAGCTGTATTACGTAGAGTGATATGCGCCTCTGCTTACAATTCTTTTCCAGAAGACCATTTTACCATTGCGTTTAAAGCAACACAATCAAGTCCATTTGTTTACTATATGGTGACATTTGATGAGTGTTTGAATTTTGCTATGTTTAACAGTGGCTCCTGACACTGACATAGCTTTGGATAACGTTGAGATGTTACATAAAATGTACATAGGCGCAGCCATTTTGCTTCCAATAAACACAGGTTTCAAGTAGGTCAAGTAGTTCTGGTAATGGACTCGTATATAATACAGATGAGGTTAGATGGAGGTATGGAATCAGCCGACTGGTATGTTATCAGAAAACTTTGTTCATCTTTGGCATGCCTCGCTATTCAGTAGCGCCAGTAACTGCCAGCATTCATAGCGGATGGACGTAAACAGTCAAATATTATGCTTGTTACTATGTGAAGTAAGGGATAAAATTGCTGTTAGTACAATTTTAGTTTAAAATGGACCAATTTCTTGTGAAAACAAAGAATAAAACTGCAGATTTGGAAGAAGGTAGTACACAGGAAACCAGGTTAGAACATTTGAGGTGGGAAAACTTGTAGTGAAAAAACCACACACCAGTGGTGGAAATGGAAATTCTTTTGAGATAAGAAAAAACACTCAGATACAATTCCAAGTATCTTAAATTCAGGTTTACTACAAATGGAGGTATACCCCCTTTGCCACTTTGTGAGATTTGCTGAGAGACTTTATCTAACCACTCATTGCATCATTCACAGAAAAGCATTGGCTTCAAAACAGTTGAATGAAGATTTAAACGCTGCAATCTCTAGCACAGAGAAGGCAGTTAACCTCAAAGTTGCTGGCTCTAACTTCACTTTTTTTTTTATTGCTATGCAATGATATGGGATCTGAACATATTACTTCATTCCAATATTTGATGGTTGTCATATGGAAGATTGTTCAACTGTCTGACTTAAAGGCTGAATTTGCAGTGTTCCCCCCTTCCCCACTTAAAGGCTGAATTTGCAGTGTTCCCTCCCCTCCCCCTCCCCCCGAAATCAAATCCAAGTTAGTACAATATTTTCAAGACGAATTATGGATTTGCAGATTAGGTGTCATTTCAATATCTTTTGGAATTGTTTGGAAAATGAAATTATTTTGGATGAACATGTCAAAACATCAAAAGAACATTTGATGAATTTGGAATTAAATTTTGAATGAAGTTTTCCGAGCTTTGATGAAGCTGAACACAGGCAGTAATTTTGGATTTTGAATCTGTTTGATGACAATGCTATTGAGAAAGCAGGGATTTCAGAAGAAATAACTTTTTATTCTTTCTACTGAGTGTATGAAAGAGGGAAGGCATGGTACTTGGCAATGTTGCCATGTCTGGCAGAAATGAAAGGTGAATATAAACAATTGAGTAACATGGCTCTCACGGAACTCCTCCCATTTGCATCAAACTATTTATGTGGGGCAAGTTTTTCGGCTATGA